TATTTTAATTTTGTGTTTGTAAATTCCGTTTGTTTGTTTGTTTTGGAATTTCGCGCAAAGCTACACGAGGGCTATCTGCGCTAGCCGTCCCTAATTTAGCAGTATAAGACTAGAGGGAAGGCAGCTAGTCATCACCACCCACCGCCAACTCTTGGGCTACTCTTTTACCAACGAATAATGGGATTGACCGTCACATTATAACGCCCCCATGGCTGAAAGGGCGACCCTCAGATTGTGAGTTGAGCGCCTTATTCACCTGGCCTGTAAATTCCGTACATTTAATTAAGTTATTGTTAACTATCTATTGGTTTACTGTAACTGGCTATTGTTCGGGATGAACACTACCAAGGAAGGGGCAGTGTTACGACAGCAGAAGTCACATGACGCTGGTAATACGTGATGAATTTCTCGAATGATCATGAATTATCGGGTAAGCCCGAGTTTGTTCGAGACGCCCTTTTTTTTAGCATATAAGCCTGGCAGAGAAAGCCGGGCGAAAATGAATGTATGATAAAGCGAACAGCAGTCACGGTAAGTTTCGGGCGAAGTTATCGAGATTGTGAATCTTAAGTTTAAATTGACGAGAAACGTACTGACAGTGTAATTACCATGTACTAATAATAAACTGGTTTAATCAAGAAAGGACTTGTATCGCTGAAGTTCCTCGGAAAGAAATTCTACCGGAAATTAACAAACAAGCAGATACATAACATTACTTTATTTCCTTTGTTAACATTTCTACAAACTCGAATTATTGTACACTATCGTAACTTGCTGTAGGCCTATCTTACAAATGACGTTAACTAACATAAAACAAATAAATTATTTGTATAAAGTACCCACGATAGCTAACACACTGACTGGTTCACTCTTTATCTTGAAAATGTATTATCTTTTTGTAACAACTCACTCTGTTACTAACCTGACAACGATTAACGGAACATCGTATTTTTAAACTATGTTTGAATAGGCTGGAACGAAATTTAACGTCAAATATTGGAACTTTCTCGGCGGCTTATTAACGTCATTATTTACGACTCACAACTCCCTCTAGCTAACATTCAAATTAGAACATTATAAGCATAGCGTATAACAGTATATTAATTATTTTTTGTTTAATATATTGTTACGACAGTGGGGAGCACGTAACGAGTATTTTAGATGATTCGCTAGTGTGTTACAACAGCGGAAGTCAAGTGACTCTGGTAGCACATGTTGAGAGTCTTTAAAGTTTCTAGAACAGGCAGTATTATCGTATATAAGTGCGCTAGACAGTGAGAGAGACAGAGAGAAAGAAAGAGAGCGATTACGGTCGG